TGCTCTAGCATTTACTAGATAGGGTAGGCTGGTATATAAAAGAGGGTGACAACGTGACGAAATAAGGTAATGTGTGTGTGTAGATAGTGAGTAATTGAACTGCAGTCAGAAGTATTGTTGACGTTCGTTGTTTTAAGCGTTTGTTTTAGCGCGATTGTTGAAAATAAGTGTATCGTAAAGTTATATTCGGAAATAAGAAAAAAACAATTTTATTAAGTAAGGACTTGTGTCGCTAAAGTTTCGTCGGAACGAAGTTACGGAAAGTTAATTAACAAACAGAGACGTAACACTATATTTATTTCTGCTCTTAATTTGCTATTTCACCCATCTAATAGTAAGCAAAGTTTATGAGGGGGAAAAATGTATTAATAGATTTGTAAAATCTTAGTGAACCTAAATCTGAATTGCATATGCAAAATATATTGTGTATAAATGACACCAAACTGTTAGGCTTATAGCCATGTACTATTTTTTCTAGTTTTACAATATCTAAGTGCTTTCTTTACTCTGAAATGCATGAATATTATTAAAAAAACCACTGCTTTTCTATTTCCCATGGCAACTCTTTGGATTTGGTTAAAATATTTTCCTTTGAATCTAAGATAAATGTTATTCAAGACAAAGAATGGAGTACTTTTTTAATCAGTCAGTTGTAATATTAAGAAGCATAAGGTTGATTAAGTTCTTGTTCAGCATCTTTATGACATAATTTATACATACTTAAAAAGAGATTAAAGGCTATAATTGTTCAACATCCATTGTAAACAAAATAGAAGTAGTATCAATATCATGAAAGTCTTCATTCAGTCATTAAAAGAAATGATAAATAAATGCTATGTATATATGTTTATTACAGATATGGAACAGTTAAGTATGTCATTTTGTACACAATATATTTGGTACAAAGAATTCAGATTCAAATCCACTAAGAAGCTTCCACACACAGATGCAGGAGCCCTGTAAGTAATAATTGTCTAAGCAAAGATTACATCAAAATCAGAATTAAGGCAATTGATTGAAAGTACAATTAAATTGATTGTCAAGACAACAGCCAACTAATCAAAATTAGTGTTTCTGATTATTCCAACAACAAATTAATCGAAACTCTAATCATATCAAATATCACAAAAATAATTACCTAATCCAAATTGGTGTTTCCAAATATCATTCATTTCGATTATTCCAACAACCAAGTAATTAAAATTACAGTTCCCAATTATTACTATTTTTGATTATTCTGACCACCCAAGTAATCAAAATATTGCTATTATGTTTGATTCTTGTTAAGTACAAAACTACGTATTGAGCTATCTCTGCTCTACCCAATCTTAGCCTTTAAATTGTAGTTTTCTTCAATTTTGTTCAGCTTTGGTGACTTAGGATGTGGTGGGATCTCGTGATTCGAGGGTAGAGTGTTCAATTCCCATTGCCACAAAATTTTCTCACCCTGTTTACTAAGGCTATCTGCTACTGTCATCTATTTTGGACTGCTGACTAAAGGAGAAGCAACGGTTTGACAACAAATATCACTACTCACCCAGTTCTACAATTCACACCACATCCGTGCAGTAAAACAAAGAGCCATTCATGATTTCTAACACCATATAGAAAAATGATGTTATAATAAACATGGAATCACTGACAAAAAATGGAAATTATTAAATCTTTTATGAAAACACTAATATCCACTTTTATATGTCCAAAACATTGTACAAGAGTTAGATTTCATGAAAAAAAAAGGATTAATGCTTCACAACATAAAAAAACAAAAATTCCAGAAGTTCCGTGGGTTATATGATTCCCAAGTTATAAACTCACTACTTTGCTAAGGAAAGAAATAAAAAAATCTATATTATCCATTAAATTAGTTCATTAATTCAGTAAACATTTAAAATCCCTTTTAATAGAAACAGCATAGAAAAAAGAAGAAAATAAATCTAAAAAAAATTATTAAATGTACAGCTTCCAAGTAACAAAACAAATGTCCAATTAAAAACATAATATATGAAGTTACATATAAAGAATGCTTAGAAATATAAGTAGGCAAAACTGTTAGACCACTGCACGACAGAATTCTTGAACACATAAAAAGTCATTCAGTCTAAATAAAAGTAACACAGTAGCAGAACACTATATGCATATGAAAGAAAAGTGTATCCAAAATGGAAAACCTATTATTTAAAGCAGAAATTCTAGCAAAAGAACACAATTACTTCAACTGGAAAATCAGAGAATTTATTTAATACAAAGAAAGATGAAGAAGATTAACAGAAATGAAGGGTAGACTTTATGAAAACACTAAAACAGAAATTTTACTGTATAATTTTTTACACTTTCATACCTTAAATCTCCTGAATGTATGTATGTTTAGTAATACAATCATCTAAATTCAACAATGTATTGCACAGTACTATAACAATAAAGCACTAATTACTATAAGACAGTATGTTATTAACAGAATTAGGTGCTCTTCTTAACACTTAATCATAATAAATTGTAACAAATCTTTCTTGTGCCTCAGTATATGTAATGATATAAGCTCCTAATGAAACCATACTTTCAGTGAACAATCAAACAACAGAAAAAATGTTTTTCTTTTACTGAGATTATTATAATAAAATAACTATGTCAACTTAAGTTTATTTAGTGTATATCACTACTTTTCACCCCATACACATAGCAAGTGGGGCTTAGAATTATAAAATACAATGGTTATAGCTCAGCTACTAAACAACACCATTGTAACTTACGGTCTTGTTAGGTTTAAATCAAACTTAGTTTAAATACTGTAACAATAGGAATGTAAATAGAAAGTACAGTATATAAAAAATTTTTTACTGTACCTGTATTAATGATATGGTAGAAACATTTAAGATTTAAACTAGGCAGCAGACAGATTTTTGTATACATGTTATGACTATCATGAATGATAGTAATTAATAATATGTATGGCTGTAAAATGGGTGACACTCTGTTGGTCTAAGAGCCTATCATCCCAAATACTCTGAAAATGTAATTTTTTTCTAACAATTGAAATGTTGAATTGATTGTTTGGTTACATTTGTGACATTTTATGACAAAAACCCCAGGATATGACCTAAAAGGTTGAAATTTCTCATGAATGGATGTATAATGTTTATCATCATTTCCCCGATGTTATTTTCTTGTACACATTTTTATAGCAATAGCTGCAAAGCCCACATATTTACGCATCAGGGTCAGATTTAAGAATTTAGCTCTTCTGAGAGAATAAACATTCAGGATTCTTATTCCATAGTGCTGTGACAACAAATGTTACATCCCTGACTCATTGAACATGTTGAAAGCTTCCAATCAGTAAAATTATATGGACACCGAGCCAATACAACGAGCCGTACACTACAATGTTGATTCAAATATTTCTGTTGTTTGTATTTGAAATGAGAGCAAGCCATCAGGGGCAGTTGATAACCCAAGCCAAGATGTACACTTTAAACTTTTCATTTAAGATTGCATTCATCTATTACAGACATATGAATTTGTTTATTCATTCAATTTTGACTTACACTGTGAAAACCAAAAACCTGCAACTATCAGGTCTTACAGAAAATACTTTATTTTTTACAGTAACTGTATTAAAGATATGGTAGAAACATTTAAACTACGTAGCAGACAGATTTTTGTATATACATTATAAACTTCATGAATAATAGTAAATAATAATATTTATGGTTGTAATTTGTAATACACACACACATATATAGTATATAATAACACAAGCCTATCAACTTAATAATCAAGTACGATAACCTTCTTCAAGTTTTTGTACTTAAAGTTAAACTCATAATATTAGCTAAATAAAACCAAGACCTTTATATAGTATATTATACTATATACTCTTTTCATCACCTGTTAAAACTACTGAACTAGCAACAGTAATGATGCTAACATTACTTTGTTTTGGCAGGGGCTTATTATTATTAACTTTGTTTGGTTATATTTTTTTATGTTATTAAAAATAATAATTACGAACTTATAAGTTACACAGAATTTTTCTTCCACAAAACTAATATTCTAATTTCTAAATTTACCTTCTCCAAATATGCAACTTCACATTAATACTTAATTACGTTAATATAACATACAGAAATAACAGAGAAGCTTCCATACTACTACTAATAATAGGCCCTAGGCCCACAAACAGTTAATATAAATAATAAAGTAACACTTTTATATTACTAAAACCAATGGTAATAGTATTGTTTTTAAGTAGGGTTAGCTAACATAGGCATTAGCCTTATGAACAAAGACGAAAATAATGCACTGTTATGTCTGAGAATGGAAAGATAAATTTCTCTGTATAATGTCAATATATGAATGTTACGAAATGCTTAATATAACTAAATAAGAAAGTATAGCAAAACCTACAAAAATATTCAGTAGGCCTATCAAAATAAATAAAAAGAGCGTACCTTTCGGCTAACTTCGCCTGGTGCATTCAAGTTCAAATAAACGTTAGGTTTAACGACACTTTTTTTTTTTTACATCTCGAACTAATTTCCCCTCCCGCATCTTCATTTTGAACTCGCTCAAGACTTGAACAAAATAATTGAAACTTAAATATAATTCTAACGCCTGCCCATTGTTCAGTAATTATCAAATGTATATCAATGCATATTTGTATACAACATTACATACTTGGGCATAATTAAATACTAGCCAAATATATCTTTATGTTATGATATTTAGAATATTTTGTGCGCCTGGTTCAAGATTATTTTTTTAAAGAGACGAGGTAATGGAAATGCATTGACGGTTAGAGTTGTATTATTAAGTGTAGTATAGTGAAATGTAAATAACCTAAACAGTAATTAAAAAATCTGGTAGAAATTTTATGTATTGCTTTGTGTATGGTAAGTATCTTAAATGTCTTATTAAAATATTAAATAATGAAAAGTGTAGCCTATGCCGTTAATCATGTTTGTTAAGACTAAGACAGCTGACATTACTCAGTACTCGACGTTAGGCCTGTCACTGTGTCAGTCAGTCTACACTACACTAATCTATTGAATTTATGCTTCAGTTTCCAAAGAAGACCGAGTCGCATCATCATTCAGCTGATTAATGTTGTAATTAGCTTAGTTTGTCTTAATATTATTTCTCTTAACAAAACTTAAGTTATTGTGTTAGTAGTACTGGTAGTAGTAATATAGTTAGTATAAAACTATAACTTATAAACAACTAAAAGTAAAAACTTAAATTGAAAATAAATGTAGAACCACTGGCTCTTCTCACATTCAGTAATTGAAATTTGAATGATTCACAATGTTATCACTATCAGAATATCACAACGTACTTACTTAAGAAGATGAGAAAGCCATTAACTTGATTAAGGATAAGATAATGTTACTTTATAATTTATAGTTTAATAGACTTGTCTTACTGGTTCTCAGTATTTTGCTCAGGCTATTGAACTTTTAGTTAATCTGATTTTGGTTTATGAAATTTAAAATGAGGGGGGGGGGAGGTGACTTAAGGCCATTTGGCAATTTCTAGCCATTACTGTTACAGATAAAATGTACATTTAGTGATTTACATATATAACAGCATTGCAAAAGAAGTCAAAAAGTAAGAGCACACATACATAAAAACAGTCAAATAATTCAAAAAGTTTATAGTTCAGAGATAATATTTAATTTATTGAAGAAAAGGCTAGCATGAAGACTACCAAAGTTTAGTTAAATGTATTACTCAAATTAGAATCTCCAACCTTTTCATCCTATTAGTGTCACTTGTAAATCAACCATTAAAAGACTGTAAACCCTAACGTTTTTTAACACTTGAATCAAGTCCAATTCTTCTGTGCTCTTAAGAAAAGTACAAAACATTAATTGTCTGTTGGTACCGGTTTAAATTATTTAAACATGGCATCATTCAAGGAGCTTGTGATTACTTAGTTTATTTTCCATCGGTGATATTTTGTAAAATGAAGGTAGTGTGGTGCACACTTAATGAAAACATTTCTAATGAAAAAAAGCCTGTTTCCAATGAAAGTCTTCATTACCTCTATGTTTCACCTTGCCAGTCAGTTTCAAAGTGATCAATGGATGCATATTTTGTAATCAAACTTACAACAACAGTGCCACTCAAATGGAAAATAAAAAACATTGCAGCAGAAATCCTTAGGAACAATGAGAATATTCAAAGCATCAAGCACCATTAGCTGGATGCAAGTGAATGGGGTGCTAGGCCTTTTGCAACCAATCTTTCAAATTATCACAAAGTTTGAATGAACAAACATGCTATCTTAGGTAGCCCCTATCTTCAGAAATATGAAGTAGGAATATGTATCAATTATCCTTGTCAGCAGCTGAACAACAATGCTTGAAGATATGCAGCAGCTGAAACATAATCTTTCATCCTGTCCAACTAGCAGTCTGCGTATCGGATGTAGGTCAAAACTTGGAGGAAGATGAGCTAACAGAAACCTGGAAATGATTGTGAAGGTGGCTGATCATATCTCCTTTATGGATCTAGTGGTAGATTCATGTGATTTGATTGAATATAGAACTGGACACATTATTGGGGAGAGAGAGAAGTACTATGGAAGTCATATAGCACCACAATACTTCAAAATAATGGAAAATGCTTTGAGGAAAATAACCAGGTATCTCAAGTTACTATAAACCAAACATGTTACTCTGCATACATTATATTTTCTAAAACTTTCAAAATGAGAATCTGGACATAATCAATGGAGAAAGGGGAACTGTATGGATTCAAAGTGAAGAGCAAACTCTGGCAGCTGCAGTTGAGAGCACGAGTGAGAGAGGAGCCAACAAAAATCGGGAAGAAGAAATTGGTGAGGGTAAAGTTAATAAAAATGAATATCATAGTGTTGCAAGAAAATGGTGAATTGCAAGTAGTGAATGTTAGTGGTTTAAAAATGCTTTTGTAACAATTGTGTAATATGTAAGTAGACAATTTTGAAATAATTCTTAGGCTTTGTAATTTATGTAAAGCACAATCCATAGTAAAGAAGTTACAAGTGCTAAACATGAGTGTAACCTTGATGTTTATATTGCTGTCATCTGTTGTTTACCTGTTATTGTCCTGTTAGTTTACAAATAATCAGTTACTGGCTGAGGCTGTAATTGGATTGCTGTAGATTCCAGCTGTGTTGATTTCAGAAAACCTCTTATAATAATTAATAGAATAATCAAATAAAAACACTTCCAACTGATGCTTATTTTTGATGCTATATAAAAATGTAAGAATGTCTGGCTGATTTTATTTTGTTTTTATTAATTTCTGAAAAGAATGGATGGTGAGGTTTTGCCTACTTGGATCTTACTTTCTTTAAACCATGCCTGCTTATAAAACATTAAAGAATACAACAACAATTGTTATGGCATAAATGCCTTTTACAAGCTGGTGAATTATGATTATAATTAATTGTTCATGTCATATTAGGCCTTTTATATTTTTAAACATTACATTCTATATCCACTTCCTTAGGGATTTTCAATAATTATAAGTGTGTGTAATAGTAGTATTCCAAATACACTGGATTTGTCATATCCATTGCTGATGATACATTATGCTCAGTCCAGAGCTCCAATCACTACTGTGTTTGTTGTATCCAAGCTGGCCTGAAGAGCTGTGAATTGAGCAAAATGTGTTATCACCAATAGATATGATGAATACAGTGTGGTTGGAATACTATTATCATACACACTTCTACTTCTTGAAAATCACTAAGAGACAAGATATAAAATGTAGTGTTTAAGAATATATTAGACCTAATATTAATGTCATATGACAATTATAATTAAAAAATACAGTTATTAATTTCTGAAAAATGGGGATCCAGACCTTTTAAACCCCCTCTCTGAAATTTGCATTTACATAACTTTTGGAAAAAAAATGCAGAGGAGGTTTGGCCCACCTGGGCCTTTCCCCTAATCTTTGATTAAATAACATTAAAGAATACATTTATTAACCTCTGAAAAAAAGGAGGATGGGAAAAGGGTCTAGACCCATTCTATAAATCTGCACCCACTTACATTTATACAATAACACAATAAGAGAAACAGAAATTTAAACTTCAGTCAACACTTCAGTAGTTATAACAGTGTTTCTCAAACAAGAGGTTGCAGGCAGGTTTTTATGGGGGGGGGGGTCACGAATTGTCTGTGCTAAGTCAAAATTGTTATTTTTTTTGTCTTAGAGGTGCACCTATGATGAACTGCACCAAGGAACATCAATAATTTTTTCATCCTTGTAGTGGTAATGAGAAACACTGAGCTTGGAAAGATCATGATGGATGCTGCCAGCCAGTTTTCTTCCCTTTTGTCAGTAGTTGAAAATTAGTAACAGTGGCTGATAGCCTTAGTAGCTTTAACAAATACAGTGTGGGTAGGTTTAGTGGCAATGAGAATGAAACCCAAGACCCTCAAATCACAAGGAACCACACCATCCCCAGTAGGTAGCTTTGTGCTTAACACCAAATTGTTTTCTCTTGAAAAAAAGAAGAGTTAGGGGGATCTGATTGAGGTGTTTAAGATTGTAAAGGGAATTTATAGTGTTGATGCATCATCTTTTTTTAATATTTAACAGTGAGAATAGTAGGTTGGCCTTTGGATGTCTTAGAGGCAGTAAATTTAAGTGAGTTTAAGAAAAAGCTTGATGAGTA